GTTGTTGCATACAGTCGATTTGGAACTGACCAAGGACGGACTCTCCAGCAGGTTTTCAGAGGCAGTTTATCACCTGGGATGAGACTGCCCATCCTTCTCCCACAGAACAGCTGGTGGATTTGAACTACATGCCTTTCGGGATGCAGCATAGTTTCTTACCACTAAGCCACCAGGCTTCCTCAGTATAGATTATAAAACAATAATTTTTAAAAGTTCAAAATTTTACTAGTAGGAAACATCGTGATAAATGGAGAAAAGATTGAAGTTATCAACAGTCTAATTTTCAATGGATTAATAATAAGCATTCATAGAAACAATAGCAAACAATTAAATGACATATTGTCGTTGTTGTTATATGCTGTCAAGTCGCTTGTGACTCATAGCAACACTATGTACAACAACTCTAAACTCTGTTCTGTCCTGTGCCAATCTCATTGTCTCCAACACGCTCATCCCCAATTACCCCAGTCACTGAATCAATCCATCTCCAGAGGGCCTTCCCCTCCTGCACCTGCCCTCCACTCTCCCAAGCATGATGTCCTTCTCCAAGGACCGGTCTCTCCTTACAACATATCCGAAGTATTTCAGATGAAGCCTCAGAATCCTTGCCTCCAAGGAGCCACCCAGTTTAACCCTCTCCAGGTTGAATCTGTTTGTTTTTCTATTAGTCCATGGTACCCTCAATACTCTTCTCCAACACCAACGCTCAAAGGCATCAATTCTCCTTCTATCCTCCTTGTTCATTGTCCAACTCTCTGACGCATAACAAGTGATTGCAAAGACCATGGCCTGTATCAGACGCACCTTAGTCTCCAGAGAGACACCATTGCTCTTCAGTACTTTGGAGAGGTCCCTAACAGCAGACTTTCTCATTGCAATACATCTTTTTGTTTCCTGGCTGCTGGTGCCAAGAGTGTTGTGAACAATCTCAATCTCTCTTCACCATCCATCCTGATGCTGCCAATTGGTCCAGAGGTGAGAATCTTTGTCTTCTTGACATTGAGCCTCAATCCATATTGAGTGCTGCAATCCTTGACCCTCAGCAGCAAGCGCTTCAGGTACTCCTCAGTTTCAGCAAGCAGGATTGTATCATCTGCATAACGCAGATTGTTGATAGATCTTCCACCAATCCTGATGCCACATTTCTCCTCATAGAGCCCAGCCTCCTGGATGATCTGTTCTGCATACAGGTTGAAATGATATGGAAACAGGATACATCCCTGGCATATGCCCTTCCCAATTTTGAACCATGCAGTGTTTCCTTGCTCTGTTCTGACGACTGCCTCTTGGTCCAAGTATAGATTTCGCATTAGCATGATCAAGTGTTCTGGGATTCCCATTCTTCTCAGAGTCAGCCACAGTTTGTTATGGTCTACACAGTCAAACGCCTTTGCACAATCAATGAAGCACAGATAGACATTCCTCTGGTACTCCTTGCTTTCAGCCAAGATCCATCTAACATTAGCTATAATATCTCTAGTACCACGACTCCTTCTAAACCCAGCCTGGACTTCTGGCAGTTCTCTGCTGATGTGCTATTCCAGTCATTTTTTGGATAATCTTCAGTTTGCTTGCATGTGAAACATTACAATAAAAAAAATCTATTGCCAAAGACTTCTCATTTTTTTGGTCTTATTTCCCCCTAATCACTCTCTGCTCCCTTATTCCTTCTTCCTATGGACTTTTAAGCACATTTTTACTAGTAATCCTTCTACTTTTAAAATAATAATCTGATGAAGTATTATTCCTTGAGATTTAGCTCACTCATCATAATGATGATGTCATATAGTATTTCACAAAACTGTAGCCACTGAGTGAGTGAGTATTTCAAGACATGTTGTTGCTGTTGTTGTTGTTGTTGTTGTTGTTGCTGTTTTGTTGTTGCTATGTACCATCAAGTCACCTGCGATTCACTATGACCATATGTACAACAGCCCTAACCCCTACTCTGTCCCGTGTCAATCTTACTATTACTGACACAAGTCACTGAATCAATCTATCTCATTGAGGTTCTTCCTCTCCTGCACCGACCCTCCATGCTCCAAAGCATGATGACATCGCTCTCAAAGGACTGGTTCTACCATGTAACATATCAAAGTATGTCAGATGAATTTTCAGAATCCTTGCCTCCAAATAGCAGCCTGGCTTCACCCTCTCCAGGACAAACTTGTTTCTTCTCCTAGAAGTCCATGGTATATTCAATACTTTTCTCCAGCACCACAGCTCAAAGGTATCAATTCTCCTTCGATCATCCTTAGCCATTGCCTACCTTTCTGATGCATAGCAAGTAATTGCGAAAACCATAGCATGTGTCAGGCACATCTTAGTCTCCAGACAGACATTGTTGGTCTTCAGTACTTTGGAGAGGTCTCTGACAGCAGACTTTTCCAATGCAATTTGTATTTTAATTTCATGGCTGCTGGTACCAAGAGTTTCCATTGTAGAGCCAAGCAAACTGAAGCTGGTTACAATCTCAATCACTTCACCATCCATACTGATGCTGCCAATTGGCCCATTGGTGAGAATCTTTGTTTTCTTGATGTTGAGCTTCAATCCATATTGAAAACTGCATTCCTTGACCTTCTGTAACAAGTGCTTCAGGTCCTCCTCAGTTTCAGCAAGCAGAGTTGTGTCAGCTGCATAAAGCAGATTGTTGATGAGTCTACCTCCAATCCTGATGCCACATTTCTCCTCACAGAGCCCAGCCTCCAAAATAATCTGCTCTGCATATAGATTGAAAAGTTGGGCACATCTTTGATGCACACCCTTCCCAATTTTGAACCATGAAGTGTTTCCTTGCTCTGTTTTGATTACTGCCTCTGTGCCAAGTATAGGTTTCACATAAGCACAATCAAGTGTTCTGGGATTCCCATTCTCAGAGTCAGCCACAGTTTGTTGTGATCCACAAAGTCAAAATGCCTTTGCATAATCAATGAAAGAAAACATTCCTCTGCTACTCTCTGCTTTCAGCCAAGATCCATCTGACATTAACTATAATATCTCTAGTACCATGGCCTATTCTAAACCCCGCCTGCACTTCAGGCAGTTCTCTGTTGATGTGCTGTTCCAGTCATTTTTTATAATCTTCAGCAGAATCTTACTTAAATGTGATATCAATGATACTATACTATAATTTCCGCACTCTGTAGGATCACTATTCTTTGGAACAAATATAGATCTCTTCCAGTCAGTTAGGCAGATGCTGTCCTCCAGATTTCTTGGCACAACTTGGTGAGCACATCCAGGGCGGTGTCTGGTTGTTGAAATACGTCAATTGGTATGCCATCAATTCCTGGAGCCTTGTTTTTTGCCAGTTCTTTCAAAGCAGCTTTAACTTCTTCCTTCATCACCACAGGTTCTTGTTCATACATTGTTTCATTAAATTATTCTGTGTCCTCCAATTCCTCCAGTCATACAATGACTCTGTATACTCTTTCCGTCTTCTTTTAATACTTCCTGGATCATTTCATGCCTAAAGCATCCTTTAGTATTACAACTCAAGGTTTGAATTTGTTCTTCAGTTCCTTGAGCGAGTTCGGCCCTTTTGATTTTCTGACTCCTGCTCCTTGCACATTTCATTGCAATATTTTACTTTGTCTTCCTGCATGTGCTGCCCTTTGAAGTCTTCTGTTCAACTCCCTAATAGCTTGATTTCTTCCCTTTTCTTTGACTTCTTGGCATTCTACTGCAATATTCAGAATTTCTTCTGGCATCCACTTTGGTCTTTTCTTCCTCCTCTGTCTTTGCAATGACCTTTTGCATTCTTCCTGGATGATATTCTTGATATACTCCAACAGATCATCCAGTCTTTGCTCATTAATATTCAAGGCCTCACACCTGTTCCTGAGATGGTTTTGAAATTCAGGTGGGATAGACTCAAGGTCAAATTTTGGTTCCAGTATACTTGATTTCATTTTTCTTAGCTTCAGTTTGAACTTACATGTGAGTAGTTGGTGGTCTGTTCCACAATCAGTACCTGGTCTAGTTTATACAGCTCATATTGAGCTTCTCCAGTGATTCTTTGCACAGATATAATCAATATGATTCCTATGCATATCATCAGGTAAAGTTTCTCTACATCTTCCCAATATTTATTACTTTCTGTCGTGTAAAATTTTGTTACTGCTATTGGGGTGAGATGGTATTTCATTGTGGTTTGATTTGCATCTCTTTTATTGATAGTAATTTTGAGCATTTATTCACGTGCCTGACAGCCGTTTGAATGTCTTCCTTTGTGAAAAGCCTTTTCATGTATTTTGCCCATTTTGTGTATCAGTCTTTTCCTGTGTAAGCTCTGTAGTATTATGTAAACTTTTGTTATGACATTCTTGTCTGAGATGTTATAGCTAAATTATTTTTTCCAGTCTGTAGGTTTTCTTTTAATTCTATTGGAAAAAGGTTTTGATGCACACAAGTTTTTTGTGAAACTTAATCTTTAGAAGGTCCCATTCATTGATGTTATCCTCTCCTCATTGTACATTTCTGACTGTACTTGTCAGCCTATTAATTCTAAATTTGGTCCCATCTTGTCTTTTATGATCTTTGTGGTTTTGGGTTTTACCCCTAGGTCTCTAATCTACCTTGAGTTTATTTTTTTATGTAGTGTGACATATTTTAAAAGTGCTAAAGAACAAGTGCCACTTAAAGGCTACAATGTGCCTTACCCAAACTATAGTACTTTCAATTACCTCTTATGTATATGTAAGTTACAGAGTATATTCACAGAAGACTAAAAAAGAATTAATTGATGCCTTTGAATTGTGGTCTTGGCAAGAGTACAGAATATACTAATATATATTGTCAAAATAATTGAAAAACTGTTCTCTGAAAGGAGTGCAATCAGAATTCCTTAGAAACAAGGACTTTAAGACATCTCTCATACTTTGGCTTGTTATCAAGAGGGTCTAATACCTGGAGAAAGACATCACACTTAGTAAGGGTCAGAGAAAAAAGAAGACCTCAAAACAGTTCTCTAAATAATTGGCTTAAGGATCAGGTAGATTTCTATGAATCAAAGCTAACTCACCAGCACCTAGTAATTAATGGTGGGTATTGTGCTAAAATAATTGTTAAAAGCCTGGACTGTGGCATAATTTCCATTAAAAACTTCCAGATTTAACTAATCATTTTCAAGATGCTTAATGATTCAAATTTTCAAATAAATCTCATTTCAAAGATCACTTTGAAAAGAATTCATTTTGTGTTTTCCTGAAAGTATTACATTGCATTTTTAATTGTTCAATATGCAAATATTAATGCATATTAAATTAAATGAGTATTTTACTTGTTTTGATAACTGTAATGATTTCACTTTTTTAATTTCCCAAGAACCTGCCAAGGATGAAATTATGTCACCCAAAGATATATGCCAACTTGACTAGGTTATGAGTCCCAGTTTTATGTGTTTGTCTTCTGATTTGTGATATGAAGTAATTATTCTCCATTTTATGTGTGATAAATCCTAGCCATCATATGGTAATGATAATTGGGATAGGGCATATCTTGATTCACATTCTTTCAAAAGACTGTCCTACTAATGAAATCCTACTCTTACTACATCCCATCTTTAAGATAACGAAGAGCCAGAAGATAAAGACTAACTATAACTGATCAGCACAAATTTGCCATGAATCTTGATCCATTCCTCTCCATATTTTCAAGCTCTTCATATATTAACTAGTATTTCTGGTTAACTGCAACACTTGCTATTTTTAATTCATCACACTAGGTAAGTTATTCTGGGGGGGAATCATTAGCTGATGGTGGAAGAAAGAAAAAAGAAGAATCTGATGGAATAATGTGACACAAAATAACTTTAAAAAGAAATAAGCTACTGAGTGCAGTAAGTGGGAGTTACAGAGGACTTTCTTCTGACTCACTTTATTTACTACGTCTAAGCCCAAATTCTTTCTTTCCAAGAATATTGCACCAACCTTTTTACTATTGATTGTTCAGTCCTGTCTTCTGGCAGACTACTCTTCACACAGCTTTTCAAAAGACTTTTTAAAGCCATAAGTTCCTTGATAAGTCTGATCTAACACCTTTTGACCTCACTAATAACTTTATATACCCACTAATGAATTTTTATTCTTCTAATGAATTTGTTCTTACCACAGAGGCTTTGAATTTGTTATTCCTTCTTCCTGGAAGGTCAGGGCCCTGACCCAGGAAACTTCTTTTTCTAGAAAAGTATGACATGTTTGGCTTTTTTTTCATTGATGTGTATCCTGTAGTCTGTACTGACCTACAGCTGAGCCTTCAGTGGATTTTTAGAGGCAGTGAATCACATGGGAGGAGATTGTCCACCTTCTGTAGAGTAGCTTGTGGGTTCAAGTAATATGCCTTTGTGTTGGAAATCTTTGACAATATTTCCACTTTTAGCACTTGTTTTGATTGAAGGTCAGGAGGAATGTCGGATTGTTTTTTATTTAAGCCTCTTGTTTAGTGTCAACAAGACATCCTGGAGTGCTCTTGTTTTTAAGGTGATCCCCTCATCCCCATTTAGAGCCAGGATGATTACAGCAGGACTCTGTAAGATTGGCACACTTGTTTTGATTGAGGGTCAGGAGGAATGAATGTCTGGTTGTTTTTTTATTTAAGCCTCTTGCTCTTGTTTGGTGTGAACAAGACATCATGTTATTATATTTTGGAGAAACATTCTTCTAAATGGTACAGCACTCTTCTGTCAATTTGTTGTGCTGAGGTAATCTGACCTAACTGTGATGCTGAACCTTGTGCCATTGCAGTGTCAAATTCCATAATGGTTGCCCATGATGGACAGTGTTTAGTGGAGGTTCTATTTTAATACAGGTTTGGAAGCAGCAGTGGCATCCACTTTCTAAACCACATGCCTCTGAGAACTCTATGAACTTGGAGAAATGATGTTAGTTACAGAAAGACTTCAGGTCGTTTTTTTCATAGGGTCGTATGAGTCGTGCTCAACTCAATGGCAACCAACAACAAAAACAAAATACTCTGATAACTTGGGTAGGAGGTAGGGGTGTCAGAGACAGTGAGACTGGCTTAGGATAGGGAAGGGTTCAGAGCTATTGTGCATAGGTCACTATGAGTTGCAGGTAATTTTATGGCACATAACAACAAAACTCTGATACAATGACTAACAATGACAGAAGAAGAATCAATGTTTTTGAGTTGTGGTGCTAAGAAGAGTATGGAGCATACCATGGACTACCAAGAGAACAAATAGATCTGTCTTGGAGAGAATGAAACCAAGTTGCTCCTAGAAGGCAAGGATTTTGAAGCTCCCTCTCACATACTCTGGGCATATGGCCAAGAGAGACCATATGCTTGAAAGGATGGAGGTACAGACAGCACAGGAGAAGACAACCTCAGATAAGATGGATTGACACAGTAAACTGGAGTAATGGGAGGAAGTGTGTCAGAGACAGTAAGATTGGTAGGATTCAGAGCTATTATACATGTACGTCACTGTGAGTTGCAGGTGACCCAATGGCACATAACAACAAAACTCTGTTCTAGTCTCTTCATACCATTTACCTCGAATATTGAAGGGAGTTATCCTTTTTTCTGGCCCTCTATTTTATCAAGCTTGATGTCACTGTTCAGATATTTGTCCATCCTTATAACATGCCCCAAGCGTGTGACATAAAACATTTACTTATACAGAACATAAGAAAGACTCTATGGAGTGACATAGTGGCCTCGACAATTCCAAAACATGTAAAGGTCTGGATACACTTTTCATGGGTTGTTTAAAATACAAGCTTCAAGGTAGAGCCAAGCATATATTTATGGTGGTTTAGGAATCTAATAGGAAGAAACCTAACTGCTTTATGACCTCACTGGAGCTCATCTTAGTAATGTTATGCTTAGTTTCCTGGTGTGCCTTAAAACATTTCAAGGATTTCATGGAATTTTAACTAGAAAAGAACATTTTAGAACTCAAAATCTTATGTACCATGTTCCTTTAGTCTATGGAGTGTATAGAGGAGAGAGAGAGAAAGAGAGAGAGTGTGTGTAAGAAAATGGTAATCTCCCAGAAAAAGGTCAAGCATGTGCAGATGAGGCTAAAGGAAGAGAGAAGTATAGAACAAAGCATTAACTAAAAAGTAAACTCCTCAGGCATCCAAAGCTTCTTCTAACTGATGAATATAGCACAGATTGTGAGGATGTCACCAGATCAGGCAGGATTTCATTCTGTTGTAAATAGGCTAGTTCTTAGTTGGAGCCAACTCAATGGCACCTAACAACATAATCTTAAAGATAATTCATTTCCTCCTTTTCATAATTATCTATTTCTCCTACCAGAATAAAAGCAATATGAGAAAAGGGAGTTTGTTATCTTATATACTAATAAAGCTCTGATACCTAAAAATTCTTGTCTCACATTATGTCTAGGCCAATACATATTTTCTACATGAAATGAAAATTTCTGCTGGAGAAAAAATTTTTCCCATATAAACTGACAATCATCTGTGAAACAGAAGAAGTTCTTACAGAGCTAGAACTAAGCAAGTTCCAGTTCATAATTTTGGTAATAGAGAGTATCCTACAACCTTAACAACATCAGACTAAGAGTCCCTTTTTATATTTAGTTTGGTTTTTGTTTCTTTGACCCAGGAAAAAAGTTCAAAGTGACATTCATGGTTTCATAAGTTCTTTAAAATAAACAGTAACATGAGAAATTCTTGTCCCTTCCAAAGGAACAAAGAGTTTGTACCTACAGATCAAAGAGATTGGTGTTACAACTATAAGAAATATAAAAATCAGAAGAGGAAATGAGAATATTTAATAAACAAACACATAATTATCAATGGCCTAATACTAAACAAAAATAAAAATCATACATTTAGTTTCAGAAGTAAAAGTATCAGATATACATATCCTTAAAGCATAAAGTGATAATAGTGTGCAGAAATTAGCTAATGCATTTATTCTAGAATATGTAATTGAAACAATAAGGCATTATAGTCACTCAGAAAATCTTGGTTTCTATTTCTGTTTATTTGAGTCTTATGAAGGTTTGGAAATTCATGTTTTCATAATCTTTTCTCAGTTGCCTAAAGCTCGGTGGCTATTTTTATTTGAAAAGTGTACATTATGGAAACATGATTAAGAAGAGGTACAAAGTCACAGAAATAGAGATGAAAAGAGATTAAATGTCCTATCAGCAAAGATTATAAGAATAGCTCAGGCCTGGACCATGGTATATAAAGTTACTATGAGTTGAAGTCAACCTAACAAAACCCAACATTCCATTCCATTAAGTAGTACTCTCTTTTTTTTCTGTCTTGTCCATTTACGTTTTTTTGACTGAACTATTTTTTTTCCTTCCCATATATTGTGTTTTATATAATCATTCATATATGTAATGTTTTATTCAGTTAATCACTATTGAACTCTATTTTTTACCATGCTGTTTCATCAAGCTTCCATAAGGAAGAATTAATGAAACAAATTAAAATATTATTGTTGTATGAGTATGAGTTGGAACCAGCTCAAAACTGACCCTCTGAAGGGTTTTCAGAGGCTTTAAATTGCACAGGAGGAGACTACCCATATTTCTCACACAGAGAATGTGGTGGATTAGAACTGTGTGCCTTATGGTTAGCAGCATATCATCTTATCACTAGGTCACCAGAGCTGCCCCCCTTAATCAAAGTAAACATAGCCTAATATGTTTTTCTTTCCTATTCAGTCATGATTTCCAATGAATGAAAGAGAACTAATCCAAAACTACAAATTGTGTCTGTCAGCTAAAAGAAACCAAGAGAATAAATTACTCTCCCATACCACCCTTTATGTTTCATTTTGTCATTTCTGTGGGCTCTTCAATAATAAGTTTTTAATAGGTATAAGAAATAAATTTAGCTATTTAATTAAGAAATAATTTTATACAGCACTCTAAGATTTTCAGCACACATCCATATTCACAATTTTATATGCTGTTAAAATAGCCCAGAAAATATTATCATCTTCACTTCAGAAATAAGAAAAAAGTAAACATGCAAAGGAGGAATATAAATGACTTCCAGTTTGTAAGTATTAAGTCCGAAGCACCAACTCAAGTCTCCTGAGCCTAAATCACACTCTCTTTATAGTGCTCCACTTGATCCATTAAATATCATCTCCCTTTCCAGGGGAGGAACTAGAAATTTCAAATAAAAACAAAAAATTCACTGTTATCAAGTTGATTCCAATTTCATACTAGAATGATTGCACTAAGATTGAACAAGACACAGTGAGAAAAGTTATAATCACTCAGAAGTGACAGAGGCACAATAAGAAAAACAAAATTATTTTTCTGTTTTTATTCTATAGCCAACTCAAAGGGAAGGTGATAGTTCATGCTGTGCTGAAGTTTAAATCCTGCTATAAGAATAATGCTGCAAAATTTTGGGATAGGATTGAAACTATTTTACGTCAAAAGCTAGAAGGTAAAACTGGATCATTATGTGTAGATCCTTCCACATTTAAATTTTCAGGTAAGAATATATTCTTTTAATGTATGATATAGAATGAGTTTAATCTTTTGTTTCATTATATAAATAAAAGGATCATCTGTCTAAGTATTCTATGTAAAGAAAGCTAATTTTAACTATGGTTAAAGTCGTCTAGGCCTAAAATAAAATTACGTCACAAAGTAAGGCTTAGATGAGTTATTCTGTAGGTCCTAATTCCTCCCTCAGTTTCTGGATGTCTCGAAAATCTTAACTCTTAAATTCCCGAACTGATTTGAGTTGCTTTAAATTTATATTTATTTCCTAGTAGGACTTTGTGAGCCTTTCTCCCTCACTCACAATGTTTTGAAAGATAGCCTCTGAAAAGTGAACAATACTTACTCCCTAGATTCCCAAGATAATGAGTGTCCCTCTGATGTGGATAAAAATACAGATCATTCCTGGAACAGTTAAGCTAGGCTATCAATTTTCTGTCTCAACAATTTTAACCAAGGAGAGAAACATATCCCCACCATTATAGGAAGGATTAAAAGGGCTCAATGATCTTAATTGGGGGGGAGGGGAATCTAAGTCAAAGGTTCATTTGCCTAGGACATTGAAAGAATCAAAGGCAAAGCCTGAACATGCTTCTTCTGAATAAGAAGCTATCATGTTGTTGAAATGTGACTGTCCTCAGAGATTAGGTGCCTCTTTTCACAACTTTCACACAGTTTACTTCATATGGAGTTACCTCAAGGGAACGAAATTTAAAAAGAAATTGTATGCCAAATTTTAGAGAGTTTGTCTCCAAATATATTTTTATGAGTTCATCTTCTGAAAGCTGTTATCTCAAATGTAGAAAATCTTAGCATATTTTCACTATTCATCCAAAATTCAAGAATAGTATGTGGGGTCTCAGAAAAACAGACTTTTGAGGGTCTTTTCCAGCTTTATTATTTTTTTTCCAGCTTTATTGATTATTTTAAGTATGTGAGACTGAGCTCTATCATCTTTTCCTCCAAGGAGAACCCCTGGTTACACTCTCTTCAAGACGTAGTTTGTTCATTCTTTTGGCCATCTAAAAGGATGCTCAGGGCTTTTCTCCAACACCACAGCTCAAAGGCATTGATTCTTCTTCTGTCATTCTTTTGTCACTGTACAGCTCTCAGATGCATAGCAAGTGATTGGAAAGACCATGGCCTGAATCCGGCTCACCTTAGTCTTCAAACTGTCATCACTGTTCCTCAATAGTTGGAAGAGGTCCTTTACTGCAGACTTTCCCAGTGAAATATGTCAAATAATGTCATTGTTCCAACAGAATAAGGAAATAATTGAATAATATCATTAATATCATATGCAAGCAAAATCTTGCTGTACATTATGAAAAAATGACTAGATCAGTACAGTGACAGAGAACTACCAGAAATTCAAGTAAGATTTGGAAGAGGCTGAGCACCAGGGCTATCATTGCTGATGCCAAATGAATCTTGGCAGAAAGTAGCAAATATCAGAAGGATTCTACATGTGTTTTACTGAATATGCAAAGGCATTCAACTGTTGAATCATAACACATTGTGAATAACATTGAGAAGAATGGGAATCTTAGAATACTCAATTATGCTCATGTGAAACTGACACCTAGACCAAGAGATAGTTTATTAACAGAGCAAGGAAACATGTGCATCAAAGCTGTATCATTGCTCCAGCTTTGGTATGCTAGTGATAAGCTGTGCTACAACCCCGAAGGCACATACTTCAAATCCATCAGGTGCTCCGCAGGAAAGGAATGGGCAATCTCCTCTTATGCAATTAACTGCCTCTGAGAAGGTCAGCTATCTGTCAGTTTCAACTTTATGGTACACAACAACAACAACAACATTCAATCTTTATGCTGAGCAAATCACTCTAGAAGATGGACGTTATGAAGAATGTGGCATCAGAATTAGAGGAATACTCATCAACAACCTGTGTTACACAGATGACACAACCTTACTCTCTGAAAGTGAGGAGGACTTGATGCACTTACTGCAGAAATCAAAGACTACAGTCTTCATATGGATTACAGCTCCACATTAAGAGAATGAACATTGTCACCATTGGATAAATAGGCCACATAATAAGAGATGGAGAAAACACTGAAATTGTCAACTATTTTATTTAACTTGGATCCAAAACTCAACACCACTGGTACCAAAAAAAAAAAAAAAATCACTGAAGAAAACAAAAGATGTATTGCATTGGGAAAATTTGCTGTCAGGGTCTTTTCTGATGTGCAATGATGTTCTTCAAGCAATGAGGTTAGCTTAAAGACTAAAGTGTAGCTATAAAAGTCACAGACATTTTGATTACTTGTTTTGCATCTATAAGCTTAAAAATGACTAGGGATGACAGAAGAATAATCAATGTGTTTGAGTTTTTATGTTAAAGAAGAGTACTGAATGGTATTGACTGCCAATAGAACAAACACCTCTCTTCAATAAAGTGCAACCTGGGTACTTTTTGAAAGCAAGGAGGGTGTAGCTTCATCTCACATAATTTTGGCATGTAATTGGCAAACACCAGTCTTTAGGGAAGGATATCATGCTTAGAAATGTGGAGACTCAGCTGGAGACGGTGGGGGGGGGGAGTGAGAAAGAGAGGATGAGCCTCTACAAGAATGTCATGGGGACTGGAACAATGGGCTCTAATACACTGTAGATGATGAGGATGGCACAAGATAAAGTAAGGTCCAAATCTGTTGTTTATAAGGTCGCTATGAGTTGCATATATATTTTTACGCTATTTTACACTTTAACAATCAAAACAGCGTATACTCATGATGCTTATATTATTTAAACTTCAAATTTAAAAAAAAATATAAAAGAACAAGTAAACCAAAGCAGGACTATAGTCTCCAATATGGATTGAAGCTCAACATTAAGAAGACAAAGATTCTCACCAATGGGCCAATTGGCAGCACCATATTAGATGGAGAAGAGATTGAGGCTGTTAACAATTACAGCTTGCTCAGATCCACAACCAAAACTCTTAACACCAGCAGTCAGGAAATCAAAATATGAATTGCATTAGGAAAACCTGCTGTCATGGCCTCTCCAGAGTGCTCAAGAGCAACAATGTCAGTCTAGAGACAAAAGTATGCCTAATCCAGGCCATGGTTTTCTCAATTACTTGTTATGCTTAAGAGATTTGGACAATGACTAAGGATGACAGAAGAAGAATCGATGCCTTTGAGTTATGGTGCTGTAGAAGAGTCTTGAACATACCATGGACTGCCAAGAAAACAAATAGGTCTGTCTTGGAGAGATTGAAACTATGTCTCTCCTTGGAGGCTAGGATTTTTGAAGCTCCACTTCACTTACTTTGGGCACATAGCCAGAAAAGAGCAGTCCTTGGGGAAGGACATAATGCTCAGAAGTGTGGACGGACAGCATAGGAGAGGGAGACCACAGATGAGATGGATTGCTACAGTAACTGGGACAATGGGGTTGGAGTGTCAGAATTAGCAAGACTGGTTCAAGACAGGGAAGGGTTCAGAACTGCTGTACATAGGATCATTATACATTGCAGGCGACTCAATGGCACATAAAATATTATGGCAGGTTTGAAAGCAGAAGTGGCATCCACTTCCTAAATAACATGCCTCCAGAAACTCTATGAACTTTTATAAATGTCAATAGTTGTAGAGGGGCTTCAGGCCTTTTGATCTTAGGTTCGCTACGAGTCGTGCTGGGCTCAAAGGCAATCAACAACAACAACAACAAACCAATGCAACAACTAACGTTACCAAACAAGTTAACATCATGGCATGATATAATTATCCCTGTCACAAAGTAGATGCAAGTACTGTATTTTTATGAAAATAGCCTGGACTTGCATATTTTTTTTCCAAACTGCAGATCCCCATGATATTTTCTTAAGCATACTATATCAACATATATATATAGATAGATACAGATAGAGAGAGAGATAGAGATAGAGAGATATATAGAGATAGATAGATAGATAGATAGATAGATAGATTGATATAAAATGTTGGCGGATTCTATTTAATTGTTTTCTTATCAATCAGATTTAGTGTTACATCTGTCTAGGTGCCTGTTGACGCTGAGGTTTTATTCCTACTTCAGACCTTCAACAGCCTACCTCTGGGTTTCTAAAGGCTACATTGATTCCTTGACTCAGAATAAGTCTATAGGTATTTCAGCCTTTGATTATGAGCTCAAGACTTTAAAGGAAGGAAACACAAACCAGCACACCAGAGTGATTTAGTCTGAAGAGGTGACAGCTTAAAGAACTTCCCCATTTATTTAACATTTATTGTAACATTTATTCAATCAAATTTGGATTAGTAAATTGAACTTTAAGAAAATAATGAAACAAAATAAAAAAAAAAACAAAACTCAATGTCATCAAATCAATTTTTATTCATAGCAATCCTATTGGATAGAGTAGAACTGTCCATAGGATTTCCAAGGCTGTAATTCTTAATAGGATCAAACGACCATATCTTCCTTCCCTGAGGCAGTTGGTTGACTCAAACTACTGGCATTTCAGTTAACGTGTAAGCTGTTAACTTCTGCACCACTAGGTCTCCTTAGGTATAATTATTAAAACTAAATTATAACTCAATAAATCTCTTTCCTTTTAGAAAATCAATATAAATAAAATTCAAACCAAACACACTGTTTTCAAACTGATTCAATTCATAATGACATACAGTATAGAGTAGCCACTGACTCATGCTTTATTGCCTATGCAAAGGCATTTGACCATGTGGATCATAATAACTTATGAGAAAAATACGTATCCCAGAACACTTAAGTGTGCTCATGCCAAACCTATACAAAGAACGAAAATCAGTTGTCTGTTAAAAACAAGGAAACACAGATGTTTAAATTTAGGAAAGGTGTGTGTCAAAGTTGTATTCTTTCTTTTTTTTTTTTTTT